CAAATATTCCGATCGTGGAGTCCAAAAAGATCAGCCCGTAACGGTCGTAAAGATCATTGTGAGACAGCAACTCTCAGTCCACAAATTTCGGTAATGACCAGATTGATTCACAACACTCAGTCTTGTGAAACCAGCGTCAGCTCGGTCAATCAAATCCCACTGGAGACCAAACTCGAGCCGAATGAAACCACCGCTTTCAAATCTGCCCATCGCTGCACATCCCCATTGAGATCGCCGCCCCAACCACGCACCCTTCCCGATTGCAGCTGTGATTTCGGTGGAACCGTGATTTACGTTGCCCCTTCACAACACAATACATTCCATGCATTTCCTTCCACCAGTCAGTTTGCTACCTCGGCTCAGCTTAACACTGATTTTGTTGTTTTATCAGATTTGAGCTCAACTGGACTTCACGTGCTTGCCCCCGCATCAGTTAGCATGCCCACCTCCTCACTAGCTCCTCATATTCGAGAAGCTGCTTATACATGTGCAGGACAGACCAATTCATCTAAATGTTTGCGGTTTTCAACCCCGGGTGCCCAAACTACACCCGACATGGAGTCAACTCTGGCATGCCTGGCAGAAAAGCCAACAGACTTTACAAAATGTGACCCATCTATAGATGAATCACTCTCTTTGAAGACTCCCTTTCCAGCGATTGATCTGTCTACATCTGAAACGAGTACTACCGCTACCTTGTCCTTAGGTGCTCAACCCTGCCTAATTCAAATTGCTCCCTATCCGACAGATACACTCACTCTCACCTCGGTAGATTCAGTTCCTATGTGGATTGCTCATCCACCGTAAGCGATGGTTTTTGTGTAAATGCATCGGAAGAGTTAAATGTTTCATATCCATTATTCATCGCTGAACAAACGCTAAAGGCGTGCATTTGATTCCCTTCTATTCCACTATCTTTCCGATCCCACTCCGCCTGAACCCACTGAATAAGTATGACTCCGATTAGGCTTCCTTTGATTTTGAGCCAAATTGTGGTATATTTGTATTTGATATTTTGCTATGCAAGGTATTTTCCAAGATTGTGCAAAACAAATATAATGTTATGGCACATACGTGAACAATTTGCATGATAATCGATAGTGGTGTGAAACAAAGTGAAGAATATTGCTATGACAAATTGGGCGTATCTGAAAATTATCTTGAGTTTTTGCGTGTAACAGTTAGGTGTAGCAGATATGATGGGGTTTTGATTTTCACTATAAACAATAGGCTTCGTTGTTCTCAGATTGGTAAGAAGTATCAGTCGTCACAACAAATAGTCGTCCTATTTCAAGCCTGAAGTTTGGTGTCATTTACCAATCCATTTGTTGCCTACTTTCTCACGATAGACGAACTCAACAAAACAATTTGGCAAATATAGTGTGTGCAAAAACGGAATAAATACATGAGTGCTATTGTTTGGGAAATCCAGCCACTGAGCTGGTGGAAGGCTCATAGATGCTAGCTAGAGAACACGCGTCAGAAAACGATTTGTCAGTTTTATTCAAAAATTATTGAAGAATAATGTTGTAAGATGAAACATCCCCCTAGATTAATCTGACCTGATCTGACTGAACCAATAAACAGAGTAGTTAGAAAACTATATTGTGGTATATTTGCGTGAATTTTCTTTCAGGAGTACGATATTATGAGCAAACAAAATCAAAGGACCAATAATCTGAGAACACAGGCTCTCTTATCTTAATATCAGGATGAAGTCGTCTGTGTGTCATCATTTGCTGCATCCGGCTAGATCAGTAATCGCCTTTGAGTTTAATGCTGACGAACACCGTTTTCCGCAATGATTTCAGCGAAAAATTGCCAGGTACTTTAATTCCGATTTGGATATTTGTGTAAAGTGAACGCATAAGAACTAGATCTAATTGAAATATCTTTTCTATCACTGACAGTGCAACGAATTTCTGCAATTCGATGAGCATAGAGGCACTTTTGGATAAAGATACTAAGGAATAAGTAATTAGGGCAAGGAAATCTAGTCGTTCGGAATCTCTCGAAGGTTCGCTATGTGTTTTATGTAGCCTCAGCAGGATGTAAAACCAACCTAACGGTTCTCTGTGACGCTTTGAAATGAAGTTGATTAGCTTAGTTGTTTATTCGTATTGGAAGAACATCTTTCACAGTGGGATTGGGATGAAAATAATTTCTGACTAATTTCAAAGTGGTGAACAAGCTCGTTTTCAGAGATTCGCATTCAAGCCAATACATCTCAATAAACACCACTACTTAGGAATAAAACTGAGGATTTCCGACCCCTGATTAATGTTCGTGGGCGATTATCGAGGTACTTTTGCTGTCCGATGCTGGCTACAGCAGAAGCAGCAGCATTCGTCTGCACAATCCTCCTCTATGTGCCCCAAAACAATTTGTGCAAGCTCTAAAGCTACCGTAACCCACCACACACACACCGCATCACGAGTAATCTCGATGATCGGATGAGTGGACAAACAAATATGTGATCGTGGTGAACCCGATTTTCGGTGTCATGATGAAATCGTTTCTAGTAATTTGTGATTTTATTTTCCCAAGACAATTTCTTTCTCAAAAAGTGATATATTTTGAGATGTATTGGTATGAATACAAATCTCTGTAAACGAGCTTGTTCGCCACTCTGTTGTTTTGTATGAAATGTGCTCTGTGGGCCGATTTCAATAAATTGAAAGTCTTTAATTCATGAGCCAAGGACTTGTTTTATGCCCACCAAGCGTTTAATCATCATCCTTTTAAACGACTGAATATGTAATTTCATCCAGAACCAATACATCCTTCAACATTTGTTTACTCTCCCGTAATTTTGTGTTTCAAAAGGGGATAGTAGATATCTTTAAGTGGTGGAGCATTTAAAACTGGTATTGACAAGAATGATGTTGGTATTGGAACATCACTTATCATTAAAACGTTAAAATACAAAACGACGTTTTAAATATTAAATTAACCCACATGGAGGTTGGTCGGATGAAATCGGTGAGACTTTTGATTGTTTGCGTGAAATCATTTGAGAAATTCAATTCATTTGTGTAACTGCATTTATCCATTAAAGTCAACATGTTGCTCAACACTAAACAGCCTTGCACCTAGGCCCCCAAGGGTACAGTGATTTCATCGATATTGCAATTCACCATCACCAGTACATATGAACCGCATCCACCGGAATTGGAACCCGAACACAAGCGATTGCGAATCTCCAGCATAATAGTCACTCAGGCTGTCAGAGAGCAAATAATTGCACCTCCACACTACCTGAAGTAATAATTATTCTTCGTTTTTATAGAAAGAAATATCCATACTTTAAAAGAAGGAGTTTGACTCTTTGGCGCAAAACAACAAGTTTTATTATGAACAAACGAATTTACCGACCATCGCTAGGCTTAGTTGGGACGTTTATAGAGATTAGTGTTGTTTGCTAAGATGTATTCTTCAAGCAAAGTCAGCGTGTTACTAGTTGGACGTACAACCATTCATGTCTGAATTTGAATCTCAGCAGATTCGGTGTGTTTTTTCAATAAAACATCTTTATATGATGGTATGGTATATGATGATATGACAGCAGCCAAGCAAAACCCCATAGTCATGGAGCGTAGTGCTTGTGGAAACCGGCTACCCTCCTTTCCAGGATTTGGATTAGTGAAGCACTTTGGACTCCGCTGAGTTTGTATTGGTAACAGCGGGGCTGCCAGCATCAAAGTAGAATGGCCCAAAACATACTGGTTACAGGAACGGGAAACGCTTGACCACCAGCCAGTGGCGATTCCTTACAAATACGGAACAGCCATAAAACGCTTCTAAAAATTTCATGGATGAGTGAAACATTGACACTATTCGACGAAGACATTCTCAGTAGCTATTTTGACCGCTGCATGTCCAGCACTTGTGTCTGTGATTGGAATTCAAAATTGTCAAGCATATGTTCTAGCTGGGTTTACTCAAATTTGTTCAATCAAACATTGAATATATTTATGCGGTATTTATACTGGTGAAATGAGGTTCCCATGTTTTGGCCAACAGTGTATTTACTTTGTTAGACTAAGTTTTCAGAAGGAATGTCATAAGACTAAGTTTATCAGTTAAATGTGTCCGGTTGCATCTGTCATAGGTTAAAGTTAAGCTAGTATTGTGAAACGAAAACAATTTAATAGAAAATATGACGAATGAATGCTCCATTTGGACAGTCTAGACGGAATGAGCATTGTGAACTTGCGGTTAAAGATTGCGTTCATCGTGAGGCGAGAGGCTGTCTTCGGTAGAATAAATGCCAAACAATGAAAATGGTTTCTAATATTTTGGGAACCAGCAATGCGCATGCCAGTTTGACCACTGAGCATTTTCGTTCGCTTTTTGAATTTGTCCAAAATGTTATATCTATATATACAACCTAAGCCGATATCTGACAATACAAACTAGACTGGCAACAGCGGTCGGTTGTGATATAACCTTATTTTATCCCTCTTCATCTTCGGCAGTTCCGACCTTTCTTCTGTTCAATGTTCCACTTTGCATCCAGGTGCCATGAGTTCCATTGCCGTTCGTTGACGTTTACTGATGATTGTTTAAGGAAGGCTATGCTGATGCACGGAGGAATTACGAAAACTTTTTTTGGTGAAATAGATGAACGAAGGCCATTATCTGGACGGTATTGATAAGAAACTTTTACGGAGATGATGAAGAGGAGGCGTGATTAATCGTAAACATATGGTACTTCATAATTATCTTGAAACATTGAAACTAGGGGTTATCTGTTAGCTTGCCAAGGCTAAATTTATCAATCAAAACAGTAAATTCCTTAAAGGCCGATTAACAGAATGTCAGAAGTTGATCGCACTGTACTGCTTAGATTGCTTTTTTATAAATGGTCAATAATGGGCGTTACGAGCTTACTTTCTTGATGGCCGTGATTAGGTTGTTTTTGTTAGACGGCGTTGTACAAACTCGTTTGCTGTTGACTTGAACGGAACATTTCCAAATGGAATGCACGTTAACATAGACAATATATTTTATTCAATGTTTGTGTAATTTGGAGATTTCGTTAACTGATAGTGAGTGGTATTGAGTAAAAACGATTACCAGAATGCCAAAAGCAATATAGGGATGCATGAGACGTTGGCTCGGTAATGACTACTTGGCCAGAAAGAGGGAGAGGATGAGCGTGTTTAAATACCCGAACGGTTTATGGCTTGGGGTAAGGGGGACAAAGAAATGGTCTCGTACTTCAAACGCGTTGGTTCATCGTCAGATGTCGGCCACCTCGAGAACACTGTGCATACTATCTACCCATTCTCAAAAACCTGTTGTCCTGCTGGAATGGCACTTTTTTCCACACTCTCCACGGGCAAGTAACCATGAAACTAGCTATGTCTTGGACGTCGGTCTTGATGTATGTCAAGATCTTATGATACGTTCGGATCATCAACTCAATCTCAACAGGTTGAATATTCGTACTACTCACTGACCACAATTGACATTTTTTTCGTTAAACTGTCTTCCTTCCATAGGAATACTTGTCCGTCGTATAGAATCACTTGAAAAATACTCCGCGTGATTGCGATTATCAAAATGCGAAGCCCAAGTTATGTTTCCCTTGCTTCAACAAAAGACAAACTAATACCAAATCCATGAAACTGTGGCGCTTCTCACTAAACCTCTAACTCATTCATTTGAGGTTTCGTTTTCCTGAAATCAGCATGCGGCTTACGATCATAAAAGTTCAAGCTTCCGATTTGTATTCACTGCCGATAACAGCTAGCGCACAAGATAAAAAGGTGAGGTGATCTTCTGGGCATGGAATCAATGAA